CCTCAGAGGGATTCAGTGGGCTCCAAAACACCTCCCAGAGAAATTGAAAATAAATTATAAAATACATGGAGAATGAGGCAGAAAAATGGGGCATTGTAAGTACCTGCATTAGACGCAAAATGTATCCATGAACACCCCTTGGAAATGGACTGTTTGGAAGACCTTGGAAAAGGTGCTTAACCTTGCAGAACGATCGTTAGGGCCCAGCCAAAATGCCCGATAAGACATTTTCTTCAAACTGTTCTGCAAAGTTCCCTTTCTTGCCTGCCTAAAGGGCCAGTTTGCAGAATCTTCATCACATCAGCACCATCCTAACCCTCTCTGTACCACCCAATGGTCAAAGCTGTCTGGGTGATGTGTTTTTATTGTAATAAAATACAATAGCATGCAATAGAAAATATAAATAATAGTAAACATATTATTTCATTAAAGATTTGAAGCACATTTCAAGAACTTAGGCAACTAAGACTATTCCTTAGGCCTTCTAAGTACAATACCTCCCCCTCCACACCATGGTGCTGTTTGGAATCCTTAAATTCCTCTGTATAAAGGGCAGTCCATGGTGACCACCTTTCCACTCTCCCTCCGCAATGCCCTGGACTGATGCTAAGTATGGTGCATTGTGGGAGATGCAAACTGGAGGCCAAGCTTTGAACACACCTTTCCTTGAGTTTCCCTACCCTTCAGAGAATTTCTTTCCCTCTGCCAATTTCTATGATCACTAATAGGGTGGATACATTTAAGAGGCCTTTGTGGACAGCTCCAGTCTTGCCCAGGGCTTCAAAACCAGGAGCCAGCAATGTTTCCACTGCTGAGTACTGGGATATTTTGGAGACATCAAGTCTACAGTGTTGCTGTTGCATAAAATTGCTTAAGAATGCATTTACATCGGGATTCAGGGGTCTCACTTTTCTATTTTTTATCCTGTGCTTGTAGTACTTGGTTGGAAGAAAGAGAGGGAAAGCCATGCTAGGGAAAGTCAAAGACAGAATAATGAAAGGAGGAACCAACAGGAGATGGCTTGTCTCCATAAAGAAAGCCACAGCCCTGAGTGGGGCAGCCCAGGACTGGAGATTTTGGGGGTCACAGGTTCATGGAGTTGCCATGACTTGATGGCCCATAACAACGACACAAGGAGAGGTCGGGCAGAAAACTAATGATACATTTAGATTTTGATCTCTACAGGGCTAGATACCCAAGCCATTCAGAAGAACTCTGATGAACACTGGAACTTAGGTACTTCACAGGACAGCTACGCTTGAATTCAGAGTGGACTCTGTGTGTGTGTGTGTGTGTGTGTGTGCATGCACACACGCACTCCCTCTCTTTCCCAGCCAAATTTCATTGGAGGCTCCATCCTAGAAGTGTGTGGCTCTTAGCCAGTCTGCTTGTTACAAACTCACTCCAGAGGGTTAAGATTCAAGTCAGTTGCCAATTGCCAAATAGTTATTAGAGTGGATCAATCAAGTGGAACATGATAGCAGGTGCAACACAGGAAGGAAAATGCGCATTAAAAACCCTGTAGAGACACCTCTACAGAATGGAATTATTGTGTAGCAATTCTGAAACTAGGAAAGATTGGAGGAGGGGGAGGAGGGGGACTGAAGTGCATTTATTGAATTCATTCTGTTTATTTTCGTGGATATTTCTGCTTTCATTGTTCAGAGCACTGCCCATTTCCTTTTAAGGATATTTCTACCTTTGAGCTTGCTAGAACCACATGGACCACCACAGGTCTAAACCGTGTTTGCCTATGTCTACTGTTGGGCGCATGTGTACCATCAAACCTCTGGCACACTTGCAGAAGGGTACTCATGCTAGTTTCAGCGATTCAGATTTGGAGGTTCAGTGGTACCGTGCAGCCACAAGTCAAGGCTCAAGGTCCCAGGACTCAGCACGGGGAGGCAGCGGAAGAGGCAAGCTCAAGGGTGGCTGGGGTGCAGATCATACCGACCATGGGAAGGATGGGGCATTACAGCCCATGCAGGGGATGTTAAAATAGGAGATGTTTCCAATGGAGGCCAACCCTCTCCTTCAGAGGTGGACCTGCTGGCTTGGCACCAAAGCAGGTGAGCAGCCCAGCGAGGGGCACAGAGGGTGGAGAGGAAGCCTGCCTGTTTCCACAGCAAGACTCCTCCAGGGTCGGGTGGCAGAAGGGTTCATAAGGAGAGCTTTGGAAAATGAGCAGCAGACAGGGGTCAGCATACTACTTTGTGTATGCTCAGAGACTTATGTGAGACAGCAAAGATTATTAAGCAAGGAAGCGGTTTGAGACTGGTGTTGGTTGGAGGGAGATATATGGCTGCATCCCTGAGAACAGAACTGGGGGTTAGAGAGGAGGAAAAGAGACAGAGGGAGGGGGGACCGGGGCCCAGTGGCTCGTCCTGATGCCCTCTGGTGGCCCAGCGGGCAAGATAAAATGCCCGTGACAGGAGGAGAGTAACTGCCACCACACCTCGCTCTGTGCGTCTGACCTGGAGGGCATTGCATTGTTCTCTCAGGCTGCAATCCTCTGTATAATCAGACAGAAAAAATATTCTATAACCCCCAGCAGGCCCCAGCCAGCCAATGGGCCTTCTCCTCCTGTGCATGCACACATAAAATTGCAGGTAAGAAGAAAAGCATTCACGAAACACAAATGTGTGCAGAATGGATATCGCAATGCACTAAAAACAGAAGAGTCTTTCAACACGCCTGTGATTCAGTCCCCAAATGAAGTAAATACTTTTGGCCTCAGATCCAGGGACCCAGTCTAGACAGAGGGAAGCATGTTGGAATCTGCGGGGAAGATTAGAAGGATGAGTCGCTGCTTGTCCCTGATACCACTCTCCGCTGAGAATACTGGTGAATAATGGCATCATGGAACAATAAGAAACCTAACAGGGAATATACGCCTCCAAGCATCCCCTTCCCCTTTCTTTTGCATATGGAGAGAAGATACTTTAATATGCACACAGAACGCACAGAAGATCAAGAAGGGGTCTCTCCTCATTGCTTGTTGTTGTTGTTTTTATAATAACCAAGTATAAATCCTAAACTCTATGGGTAGTATCCATGATTAATTGCATTCCGCCGTCATTAGGCTGAGTCATTATCAGCTAGTTGCTCTCAACACTTGCAACGCTGTTAATTATTGTTGTCTAGCTCTAAGGGATGTTTTCAAAACAGTCTCACATTCTGCAACTGGAGAAGAAGAACTTAATAAGCCGGCAGTCGGACACAGGAACCGCCACCAATACTTTGGAGAACTGGCATCCAAGAGGTGTACACTAGTGCAGAGGTGCCCCATAGATGTAAATCTTTTAAAAGGCATTCAGAGAAAATGTTAGAGCATCAATATCATACCTTGATCTTGGTGTCTGGAAGAATGATCACAGCAATCTTCCTGCTACAGAACTGTATTTTGGAGGGCAAAGCACCCATGAGCGCTTGGCTACAAGGAGACAATCCCCAATTTCTAAATTTGTACTCATATATAATGGACTGCTCAAGCAGTATGTTTTAGCAGGTGGTTGGCTTTTATCCTAACTGTATTCTTCATTTTGGGGAAAAAGGGTATCTCATGAATGCTTAGCAATGCAGGGGTTGACCTCAGAACCTCACACCTGGGAACCAAATATGGCTCAACGTTGGACACTGCCCCCTGAAGTCCCCTGGATGGCCACTCTCCAGCCCTAACCTCTTTTTCCAATCACAGTTTGCCTAGAAATTTCCTGGGTATTGTGCAGCTTTTCCCCAGTTGTAAAAACTTGAATTGCCTCTCCTAATGGTTATTTACTGGCAGCAAAAGGAAGGTTTAAGCTAAAGGACGCTGATCTTCTTGGCCCTGCCCTTCAGTCTAACCTGCCACCTGGATGCAGTCCCCAGAGGAGCCCAATGTAAGCTGACACCTAACCCTTGGCCTGCTCCTCTGAACAGCTGGTGCTGACCCCATACAGAGGAGTCTTTGCAGGAGAACAGCAGCGGAGAGATGGTCACAATGCCTTCCTTGCTAGCCTGCACTTTCCACTGAAATGGTTGCAGATGAGCTGATTTGGATCTGGAGCCGAAAGAGCCTTAATACTTCATCTAAGCACCTTCTTAGTTGGGACCAATGCATGCAACGGGTCACCTCTCTTCACATTAGCCTGCAGAGACGAACACGATCTGAGGTTTTTGTCCAAAACCCCCACTAAATGGACTGCCTTATCCAAAGCAGTGAGACTCTAGCTTTGCAAAACTCTCTTTCAGTTCTTATTCTCCTCATTTTGGTTTCCGAGGTGGCTTTTTGTTAGATTCTATTGTATTGGACACGACTTAAAGGAACCCGGCTGTGCAACACTGTATGTATTTCAGCTGCAATTCCAGAGCCTTTGAGCAGACATGTGTGGGATGGCTCTGTTCATGACTGACTGACACCAAAGGCCCTAAAGTGAAAGCTTCAGGATAAATAACACACTCACTTTGCCAGTGCGCATTGAGATGGGAGGTGCAGGGCTGGAGGCAGCATCTTGGACGCAGCATGCGGGCACCAGAGCAATTTAGCAGCAGCATTCCAAGCAAAGCCAGCCCAGAGGCCAGTTCCTTTCTGCTGCTGTTGCTGCTGCTGTCCAGAAGAGTTTCGTCTCCACTGTAGAGATGGCATGCTAAAAGCAGAGCTAGCCCAGAGGCCCTCGAGAGAGGTTTCTCATGGCAGGAGCGACAGCAGCAGGAGAAATGGGCTCTCGGTGTGAGCCGATGCTGAACCCTTGGCCCACTTCTCTGATCAGCTGGTGCTGACCCCGTACGTAAGAGTCCTTTTGCAGGAGAAAGGTGCCAGAGTGACAGTCACAGTGCCGAAGTGACAGTCGCACTTGAAATGGGTCGTGGTTGCACAGTAAAGGAAGAAGCAGGCACCGCTGCAAAAGGCCGAAGTGCTTTGCCATCAGTGGAGGATGCAATCTGCTTTTCATTCCTATATTTGGTATAACTGCCTTGCCCGTCCTCCAGGGGGTGCAAAAGGCATTATCCCCTGCCAGCAGTGGTGAACCTATGGCGCACGTTCCACAGCGGGCATGCAGAGCCCTCTCTGTTGGCATGCGAGCCAAGTCGCCCCAGCATCGCCCCAGCAGCCGAGCATCGGATAACAGTGCACAGAGGGGCCATGCGCATGCTCGGAAAGGAGTAGCAACACGAGGCAATGACGTCACAAACCGCGACTCATTAGCTGAGGCAAGTCCAAGCCTTCACATTGCCGGTCAGTGCACTGCCAAGGATATACTGTATATATATATTTGCTTGGACTGGCTGTGAGTTGTTTTTCCTAAACTAAAACCTCAGTTTTCGGGTTTGATTGCAGTGCTGGCACTTTGCAATAAATAAGTGGGTTTTGGATTGCAGTATGGGCACTCAGTCTCTAAAAGGTTCACCGTCACTGTCCTCACAACAGCTCTGTACAGTATGTCTGAGAGACAGAGATTTCCCCAGTGGCAACCAGGCGATGGGTCAATTTGAATTCAGGTCTTTTGGGCTCAATGCATTTACTGCACCTATTGAAATCTGGGGCTGGATGGAATTTGGTAGCATCCCTACTTCAGCATTCATGAGTCATTAACTTTGCCTATATTTCTTGTTCCTAAGCTTATCCTTCTTCTAGGAATTAATGCAGGGAATGGTGCCAATATCTAGACGCTGGCACCTTTTACACTTTTGTTCTTCTGATTAATGCTCATCCTGAAATGATTAGTTCTTGGTGATGTCCTGTTCTTTACCCTCATTCTTCTCCCTTTATTTTTTCCAAATTACCTGGACAAGGTAGATGTGTTTAAATAAGGGCGTTTTGCAGAACCAATGCAAGGCTGTAGAGTACTTTCCTTCTTAGCAAGCGGATGGGGCAAAGGTTGCTCACCATCCCATAATGGGAGTGTGGAGCAATATGTTCCTGGAGTGAATGAGCTGGTGTGTTCTGAGCCAGCTGCAACTGTTAAGCTATTCCCAAGAATGCCTAGAACAAAGCGCACTGGAACAAAATCAAGCCCTGGCAGGAGTGATCCATGCATGCATTTGACTGGGCTGATAATTGCCTGGTCTCGCCAGCAACCACATGAACACATTTATTATCCACAAGCCCCTCATTTGCTTTTTAGGACATCAAATCTCTGGTCAGCTTCAGACATGATAGCCTTAGGAGAAGCTAGAAAAGGACTGACTCATAAGCATAATTCAAGTGCCCGGGTGATTCATTTCAGTGCAAGGATGGGCAAATTTGTCAATTTCACTCTGTTCCACGTGACATTAGAAAGCAAAGCAAAGCAAAGCAAAGCAAAGCAAAGCATCCTTCAGGTTCTTCCCATTCCATTCATGGAAAAATAAGTTAATTTTAGAAAATTCTTATCAAAAACAAAGCAAAATAGGTCCTTGCACAGCAATAGGATCTATAATCAAAAGCTGAGCTATTCCCTGTATTGATACATGATGTATTTACTGCCATAGGGACGTTAAAGATCAGGAGCACATAGAGAAAATAAGAGGTGTGAATCCTAGTTCAGTACCACCAACTTGGTTAAATATATAGGAATCGAAACTAAGACTTCTAAGAGCTAGGTGCAGCTTGGATCAACAAATCCATCTGTTTGATTTCTTTCACATTTGAACTTCTATGAACTTTTCATACAATTGATGAAGAAATTTTAGTATGTCTTTACCAATAAATGAAGCTAACCAAATTCTTACCCATCCCTACTTTCATCAGTACAAGAATCTTTATGCAGTAGGCTACTATTAGATTTACTAGTGTTGTAAAGAGCCCAGAGAGCTTCAGTTACAGGGTGGTATAGAAATGAAATGAATAAATAAGTACATTTTAGCATGCACTACCCAGTTCTGTTTATTTTTCTAGGCAACTGCACAGATTGATAAATGCCCCACCCTCCCTATGGGGTGGGTTCTGAAGATATTTAAGAAACAGTCACTGGTGCAGAACTGGAGTCGTTTACTTCCTGACAAAGAAGGGGCCCACTGTAGCGATGCTTTGTCAGTGCATTGCCACGTGCTACTTTCCAGGTCAGATGATGAATATGAAACCAAGCCACACCATTACAGAAGAGAAAACAAGGAATAAAATAAAATATAATGTTATCACTTTTGGAATGAGATTTAAAAGCATCTATAATGATAGTTACATACATGTTATATAACTCTAGGGGTTAGTATATAATGAAGCATAGTATTGTCATTGAAAATAATTATGCATAAATAAAGGTAGTCCAAATATTTATCAGTTTCTGGATTATGACTATATCATAGGGAAATGTAATCCCCAACATCTCCAGGTAGGGCTGGAAAAACTCCTGCCTGAGACCTTGGGAGGCTGCTGCCAGTCAGTGTCCATGAGACTGGGACAGATGAACTGACTGGCCCATATGGAGCAGGTTCCTGTATACCAAGCCATGAAAGGTTAGAGAAACAGGCCTCGGTATCTTCCGTGGGGCTGGTTCAGGGCACCTCTACATTGCTCACGGTGACCAGTGACAGAATGAGCAACGTGATTTCCTGGAAATGTGCCTCAAGATCCTCTGGGATTTGTCTGTTCCACAAGTCAGTGTGGAAAGATTCTTTGGAACAGAAAGTCTGAAAAGAAACATACACCTGGTCTATACTAGTTCAATTTAGCGACAGAATTGCAATCCACATTGTGCTGTTGCATCAGTGCACATAAACACATATAAAGAATCATCCGATTCATGCTTCATTCACTTCTGTATTTATTTATTCTGTGCTAATTTTAGTGGCTTTGTTCTTTTTTTGCACTGAACTGTCCGCCAGAACAGATACTTTGGTTGAATCTATTTAATTGAATCCATTTCATTAGCAGCAGAACCAACACTGACATATGGAAAATGCAGTCTAAATAAATCAACGGATAGTAATGTTGTTGTTTTAAAAAAGAAAAATATCTCACTAACCACAATAAAGCTTTTTACCAAAACCAGTAGGCACTTCTCAAAACAAACGCATTTTAATTCCTCTGATTTGCTTACTGCCTTCCCCCTTCTTGCCACACTTGGATGCATTGAAGTAAACCAGATGGTATTTATAGAAGCCAATTTTTATTGAAGCCCTTGAAAGATAGTCTCAATGTTTCTCTGAGATCCAATGCATATTAACTGAAACTAATACATTTCTGAAATGGAATGGGGTGTTACTGAACCAATTCAGGTCTTTCATGGCTCATTTGCATAGCTTCAAGCTACATCTGAAGCAGATCAATACGGGTGTGTGCTTGCGTGTGTGATCATTTTTGCCCAGATCCAGCAACTCACGAGCACATGCTAGGATTCTGATGCATGCGCCGTACTCTAGGCACACAGAGTGTGTCCCATTCTCATTAGCACTAGGGAACTTTCTGCATAGTCCGAATTTTTGGTGAGCAGAAAATCCCCCAGGACTGAAAAGAGCATGGCATTGGTCCTTTGCGCAAAGTGGAAAGTTCCAGTTCTGGACATGAGATCACTTCCCATGTTTCTCTGCCCTGCATCCATCCATTCACTCACTCACTCATTCATTGCAATTCATTTCATTTCATTTCTATATTACCCAACAGCTGAAGCTTTTTGGGTAAGTAACAAAAGTTAACATTAAACACACACATACAAAAGTTAACATTTAAAAAACACACACATACAAACAAAACCACAATAGCCATTGCAATGGCTATAATTCAGCACAGAAGCATAGCAGCTGCGCAGGATGAACTGGAATAAATAAAAATAAAGTTAAACAGTTAAAAGGCTGGAAAAATAAAAAGCTTTTCACCTGGTGCCAAAAAGAATACAAAGTAGGTGCCCGGTGTGTCACTTTGGAGAGCTCATTCCATGCCACAACCAAAAAGAACATGTCTGTGGGGAGGGTCACCATGCACCAGTTCTGTCTACATGGACCTGACTCCCAACCACCATGTACTGAGCTGAAAGTTTGGCATGGGGAGATGCCTCTCCTTTAACTGAATGCATTGTAAATTCTCTATGTGATCAAACACATAGAGATTTTCCCCTTCAGGAATGGAGCAGGCAGATCCAGTGCTTGGTTCTCCATGTGTTCTTTAAATGGATGGAAGAAAACCTTTTGAAGGTGTTGATGGAATCAATGTCAATTCTTGTCCGTATCAATTATATTAAATCTTCTTTTAATATCAGGAACACTCTGGTGTAAGAAGAAGCTTATCTTTTAATTGCACCAGGGCACTAGTCAAGAACTATGGAGAAATTGAGGCACTCTTGCTCCACAGCCTTGCAGGAGTCTATGCTCCACTTGCCCTCTCCAGAAGGCACCTTATGCCTAAACCAAAGAGCCTGGCTTTTCCAACCCATCACATGCTCTTCTTATAGGCATCTCCGAATAGGAACTCAGTCTTCCTCCAGCAATCACGTTGTCATCAGGCCAGCCTACCATGAGGCTAGTAACATCAGGCTGCAGATGTTGGGTGGATGGAGAGTGGAAGGAGAATGTTAGGAGAAAGAGACTCCCTTGCACCTGCTTGCTGCTTTCAAGTATGGGGAGCAAGCTGTCCCATCACTGCTGCTGAAGCAACATTCAGCTGTCAGTGTGATTGGAATCCGTAGTTCTGGCACTGGAGATACATCTTGTCCTCCAATTTGGGCAGCTGCATGTCATGGGCTGTCCAGGATAGCCTGATGTCCAACGCGTTTAAACTGAGCAGACTTTCTATCTGCTTCCAATCTGAGGACTGTAATTGGACTGAGTCAGGTTTTTTTCTTGTGGACCTTCCTCTCCACGAGAGGCCAACATTCTGCGTTGTCTTCTAAAGACTAGGAAATCCACACAATGCTGTGCAATTTGTACACATTTGCGCAATTTCTGTGCATTATGATATTTTGTGGATTTTGTGCAAACTGGCACACAAAAAGATGTGTATCTATTGTGAGTTGCAAGCAATCAGCCAATTTGTGCAAATTGTGCAAAAACCACATGATTTTGGGGGGCCAATTTGGACAAATAGGCCAATTTTATGCACATTTGCTAAAGTTTTTTTTTCCCCTTAAATTGAGCAAATTGTGTTCTACCTTACAGATGGAAATACATTAGCTGGCTTGACTCACAGCATAGCAA